TTACTGTGTGTGTGTGTGTAGCTAATGCCAGGTGAAGGTTGGACAGTGGAGATGGTGTCAGAAGCCTGGACTGAACCAAAACTGAATAGATTGTAAAGTTTTCTATAAAGGGTCTCGTATTCTTATCCTAAAAGCTGGGATCTTAGACTGACACGTGTTTTGGATGAATTTTTGAGATAGGTTTGTAAGTCATGGGTAAGTATTAAAAAGTATGGTTTTTAAATAGTATAGATAGTATGGATTTATGGATAGTATGGATTTAAAATGAGGTCTAACATTCCATGGTATCACATGTACTGTATAACCAACACCGACACTGAGGAGCACAGGGACTGGCCTCCTGCTGGGACTCTGAGGAGCACAGGGACTGGCCTCCTGCTGGGACTCTGAGGAGCACAGGGACTGGCCTCCTGCTGGGACTCTGAGGAGCACAGGGACTGGCCTCCTGTTGGGACTCTCTTTTTATGAACACTTAAATTTCCCCCACTGTGGATTGAATGAAGGGTCTCGTATTCTTATCCTAAAAGCTGGTATTGTAGACTGACACGTGTTTTGGATGAATTTTTGAGATAGGTTTGTAAGTCATGGGTAAGTTTTAAATAGTATGGAGAAAAATACATTTAAAATATCACATGTACTGTATAACCAACACCGACACTGAGGAGCACAGGGACTGGCCTCCTGCTGGGACTCTGAGGAGCACAGGGACTGGCCCCCTGCTGGGACTCTGAGGAGCACAGGGACTGGCCTCCTGTTTGGACTCTTTTTTTATTACACTGACTGATATATCATTGTAATACCAATGCTTTTCATATTTTCTTTATCGTTTTGTTCCGCAGTTCGACTTCCCTTGTGTATGAACTGTGCTAAACAAATAAGCTTGCCTTGCCGTATTAAATCTCTAGCCTTCATTGGGTATTGACCGTTCATTTAACTGGACACAGAATCTGCCCAGGTCTGTCCTAAAGGCTGTGGATAGTCATTTTCTTAGAGATACTCGATAATTGTATTATTTACATCAATTCCTTTCCCGATAATTGTCTTCAAACCTTCTCCTTCTCCCGCAATTTTTATTAAAGCGTAAAGAGTAAAAGAAAGCAGCCTCACTCCGCTCTTACGGCCCCCGCTGGAGAAATGCTTCTTAAACATGGCCCCCGGAGGATCTCGTTGTCTCGTAGAAACGATCTCTGCAGGAAATTAGCAGCGTTTATCTGGAGTCCAGTGACTTTCATCAATGAAGAGGGGATCACAGAGAGAGCCTGGATTTACTGCTGTGTCGTTGGTCTGCGATCGTACCTGTGCTAATGGGAAGTCCCTATGCTAATGCCGAGTCCCTGTGCTTATTGGAAGTCCCTGTGCTAAAGTGATGTCTGCAGAGAGAGAGAGACTTGAGAAAGACTAGAGAGAAATAGACTTGAGACTCAAGAGGACAACTAGAGAGAGAAGCCAGAGAGAAAGACAGGAGAGACCAGAGAGAGACTTGAGAGAAACCAGAGAGAAAACATACTGTAGTTGGAGACCGCAGAGAGATAGGCCAGAGAAAGATACAGAGAGATAGAGACCACAGAGTGAGACCAGAGAGAGAAAGAGAGACCAGAGATTTAGATCAGAGAGTGAGACTCGAGAGTGAAACCAGAGCGAGAGACCAGAGCGAGAGACCAGAGCGAGAGACCAGAGGGAGAGACCAGAGAGTGAGACCAGAGAGAGAGACCAGAGAGAGAGAGAGAGATAGAGATATCAGAGAGAGAGACCAGAAAGTGAGACCAGAGAGATAGAGAGAGACCAGAGAGTGAGACCAGAGCGAGAAACCAAAGCGACAGACCAGAGCGAGAGACCAGAGCGTGAGAAACTAGAAAGAGAAACACACCAGAGAGAGACCAGAGAGTCCGGTGACTCTCATTAACAAAGTGTGGATTACGGACACAGAGAAACGGAGCTGGATTTCCTTCTGTGTTGTTAGTCTATGATCGTACCTGTGCTACTGTGATATCTGCTTACTGCCCTCTGTACCTGAGGGCTCACCCTCGGGAACTAGCTCTTCTAAGTAACTGAGTTTAAATGAAAAAATTAAACCAATAAATTCTCACTGGATAGATTATGGCCCTTTGATGATGACTTGACATGAGAATCTCACATATTGTTATTTTTGATTATTGTGTGGTTATTTTTCCTACACAATGGCCTCCAATTGTTATATACTGTATATCTTTCTTTTTGATGTATTCTGAGGTCTCTAACCCCTGACACAAAGCCTGTAAATAAACATATACATAATGCTGCTCAATCTTATTCATACATGAGCGAGACCGTAGAGATAGACCAGATAGAGAGAGACCAGATAGAGAGAGACCAGAGAGAGATAGACCAGAGAGATGGACCAGAGAGATAGACTAGAGAGAGAAACCCGACAGATAGATTAGAGAGAGATGGACCAAAGAGAGACCAGAGAGATAGACCAGAGAGAGAGACCAGAGAGATAGACCAGTGAGATAGACCAGAGAGAGAGACCAGAGAGATAGACCAGAGAGAGAGACCAGATAGATAGATCAGTGAGTGAGACCAGAGAGAGACCAGAGAGATAGACCAGTGAGATAGACCAGAGAGAGAGACCAGAGAGATAGACCAGAGAGATAGACCAGAGAGAGAGACCAGTGAGCTAGACCAGAGAGAGAAACCAATGAGATAGACCAGAGAGAGAGACCAGAGAGATAGATCAGAGACATAGACCAGAGAGATAGACCACAGAGGGAGACCAGCGAGTGAGACCAGAGAGAGACCAGAGCGATAGACCAAAGAGAGACCAGGGAGACAGACCAGAGAGATAGACCGGAGAGAGATAGACCAAAGAGAGACCAAAGAGAGACCAAAGAGAGACCAGGGAGACAGACCAGAGAGATAGACCAGAGAGATAGACCAGAGAGAGATAGACCAAAGAGTGACCAGAGAGAGAGTCCAGAGAGAGAGTCCAGAGAGTATGAGACCAGAGAGTGAGACCAGAGAGTGAGACCAGAGAGTGAGACCAGAGAGTATGAGACCAGAGAGTATGAGACCAGAGAGCGAGTCCAGAGGCCAATCATATTCATACATACTGTATACTGTATATTTTTGACTCAACGTGTCTCTTATGTAAGAAAATCAGATCTACAGTAAATCATTCATGAACGATCAGGACCTGTTTGATAAACTTTGATATCTGCATTTTTTCACATCCTTTGAAGTGTGAGGAAAACATCTGACCTACTTTAACAACAAAAAATAAATGTTATGATCGAATTATGCAAAATTCCCAAAGACCAGACAGAGCAGAGACGTACATCCTACTTACAATTTCAAATGTAAACGTTATGCAACCACATAAGCTGCAGAAATATCATAGAGTCATGTCCCAGTTCACTGCTTTTATTAAACCCATATGTAGCTCTGGTCTTCGGCACTGTGCATATGGTACAAGAATCAATAAGTCGTTTATGGTTTCAGAGTCAATAGAGAAGAAACTGTTGATTTTAAATTATATCATAGATGAAATTATAGCATACAACTGGAGACTTAAGATAGAGAGAGAGATCAGGGGGAGAGACCAGGGAGGGATAGAGACCAGAGAGAGAGGGATAGACCAGAGAGAGACCAGAAAGAGAGACACCAGAGAGAAATACCAAAAAGTCAGAGACCAGAGAGGTAGACCAAAGAGACACCAGAGAGAAATGTATGTACTCTGGACTTTTTGGTCTGTCCCTCTCTCTTTGGTCTCTCTCTGGACTCTATCTTGGGTCTCTCTCTCTGGTCTCTATCTCTCCCTGGTCTCTCTCTCCCTCTCTCTCTGGTCTCTATCTCTCCCTGGTCTCTCTCTCTCCCTCTCTCTCTGGTCTCTATCTCTCCCTGGTCTCTCTCTCTCCCTCTCTCTCTGGTCTCTATCTCTCCCTGGTCTCTCTCTCTCCCTCTCTCTCTGGTCTCTATCTCTCCCTGGTCTCTCTCTCCCTCTTTCTCTGGTCTCTATCTCTCCCTGGTCTCTCTCTCCCTCTTTCTCTGGTCTCTATCTCTCCCTGGTCTCTCTCTCTCCCTCTCTCTCTGGTCTCTATCTCTCCCTGGTCTCTCTCTCTCTCTCTCTCTCTCTGGTCTCTATCTCTCCCTGGTCTATCTCTCCCTCTCTCTCCGGTCTCTATCTCTCCCTGGTCTCTCTCTCCCTCTCTCTGGTCTCAATTTCTCTATGGGCTCTCTCTCTGGCTTCTCTCTGTTATCTCGGAGGACTTTACAAAGCTGTTGATTCACCAACACAGACTAGAGAATCAAACCGCTCAAACACAGAAAATACAACAATAACAAACACCTAAAAAACAGAGGTTCATACGGGACGACCAATCTCCATAAATGTTGATAAATGTCCTTAAACATCAGTTGTAGAAGACCTCAGGCTTCTTAAACTCAGAACGCATTTGTTTCTATCGCTCGAACAAAATGTCCTGTGATTGTAGAATATAAAACGCACATTCTCTTCATCTATTCATCCGAGCTTGAAGTGAAACATTTGAGACCTTGGTCAGAACCTGGCTCTATTCTCTGCTCGCAATTTCCGCCGCTATTCTTTCCCTGCACTTTCTTCAAAGGGTACACTCCGAGCCCTATGGACGTCATAACGCACAAAGCAGGAAACGCCGTGTAATATTCATGAAAAATCCGATTTTCCACTTAACCCAAGACTAAAGAAAAGCCGGCTCCCTCCACGTCCCTTTGAACCCCCCTTTCCAAAAAAAAAAGAAAAAAGTGCAAAATACGCGGCGGTTAGAAGCGGTGTATAATTCATCCTGAAAAAACTATCGATATACGACTAAAGTATTCCTCTTGAAATGACGGATGAAACGGTCTCCGCAGACACGCCTGGTTCAATATTTGATGGTTTTTTTTTTACTTTTTATTTTTTTGATAAATCAATCATCAACCCCAAAGTGGAAAAAAAAAAAAAAATCTTTTTCATGGAGTCCAAATTATTCATAATAGGATGGTCCTCAAGGTCTGCTTTGAAGGAGAGGACTCGTTTCTTCTTTGTCCTTCTTCTTGTTGAAATATGGATGGTTCTGCACTGTAAACCCAAATTAGTAATCATTACTAAAGCCGCGCATGGTAAGTGATTGCACTGGGATGTCTAGTTTTTACAAAATCAAAAACCAAACAAATCAAGCTCTGTTTACATAAAGTCTTGTGTCCACGATAATCCATTACTAAAGAACTTGAGGTTTTAAAAATAATGCTTTTGAGTAATTGCCTAAACCATTACTCGTATATATCTGTAATCATTACTCATGTTCATCAGAGTTTATTTATCATGTTTATCAGTATTTATTTCTCATGCAATATAGTTAGAATTATGAAATATATATTGTAATCATTTTTTTAAATTACACAATAATTGACAATTAGTTTTTTCAAAAATTTATTGCAAAAATTGTGCAAAAAAAACCTTTTAACATTCAAATGTGAGTAAAATGCAGTCATCTGCATGTAAACAATCAGAACAGCGCTTGTCTTTTTTGTCACATTTCACCATGTTAAACTTTTAGACATATAAGCTAGATCTGAGAAAAGCGCTATGTCAAAACAATTCTGCATTTAACCCTTGAAAAACATTTCTCTTGGAAATTTTAAAACCTTGTGCAAAGAGGGAACATGCTTGCATAACATCTTATGAAATAACTGAGGTAGCATTTGTCATTTACATCATTAATCTGGTATCAAAGGAACAGGCCACCGTTCTTCCATACTGAAATATGTTCTTAACTGAGCTTAGACGAGTTGATACGTACCTGTTTGGTCTTTGTACATGCCCTGAGTCATGCAAAAATACCAGATGTTAACGTTTTGCCTCTCCCGGTATATTCCTATAGCTCCAAACGGGGTGAAGTTAGAATGGGCACAAAGACCAGACAGGTACTGTTCATCTCCTCGTCTAAGCTCAGGTAAGAACAGATCTCAGTATGTAAAAACAGTGGCCTGTTTCTTTAAGACTTACTTGGAACCGTGGTATGGCTTTGATGGGTAAATTGCCTAAATGAGCGTCGCTACCTTTAATATTTGGAAGCCTTCATTTTTAGAGACAAAAAAACTAGCATGGTGGCACATAGTAATTGTTTGAAAAATTATGAACAGGAAAGTTGCTGTGTAACAGTTTCAAGTTTTTCAGCCTGTAAACTTCACCGGCCTCTAGGCCTATTTAACAACACTTGCTCACATTTTTATGAATTATGTTTGTATTTAAATGTGGAATGCAAACTTCAGCAGTACAAACAATGAACTTCTAACTGCTAAATAAGTTTGAAAAAAAAAAACCTTTTATGTCCAACCATAACTAGAGCACCTGCAACATTTTACACCAGTAGTTGATTCTTCAGTGTTTGAATTCTCGGCTTCAACTCGGTGCTTCCCAAAGAAAAAAATACCTGTTGAATGAACAGGAGGGTATTTCTGATTGTCTTCGGGTAGTTTAGGTGGAGTCCATACGTAAGTCCAAAAAGGAGACACACAGCTTCTGGCAGGGTTGTCAGCTTTTGGACAACAACTTCACCCTCAATGACGATTTTTAGGCTTGCTGGGTGAAGATCTGATGTTGGGGTAGAAACACCTTCAGGATTCACCAGCAAGATTCCAACATCCATTTGGCCAAAGGACTCATCACCATCCTAAAGATAAACAAAAAATGTTTGCCAGAAATATAACTATTAGTGAATAAAGTTACCGAACTACAACAGACAGCCATTAAGGGGCAGCAATTTTTTCTACCATTTGGCCACGACTTATAAAATTTTGGTGTAATAACTATTTGAGGGAACGTCTTGGTCTATTCTGTCAATGGTGTATTCTGACGTTTATACAGAATTATTATTAATTTAATATGGGACGGTCGCAGTCATCACTGCACATAAACACAGCATGTTCAGGTGTACTTGAGATTGTGTATTTTATTTTATTCATTGGAGAGTGGGCAAACTGCTCACCCATCCTGCTGCACAGTATGGTGTTTTTGAGAGAAATAGTTATTGGTATTAGAATTTCAGATAAATTGAGTGACTACAAAGTTATACAAATATCGCATAGGATCATGTTATTTCAATAAAGCTCTAAAAGGGCTCCTGTCCTGTGCAAATAACTCCTAACCTCTAACAAGTACGGTATTATGAGGGGTCCAAAATATAACACACAATGCAAAAAAAGGATATGTTGCGCCAGAAAAATGTTACGATAATATCTAAACCACATTATGACACTGATGATAAAAAAAAAAAATAAAAAAAATAAAGAAATACAAAATCTAGCTGTCTTGCAGCTGTCTACGGAAACAAACTTCTATCTTTGACCTGCAGATACCGCACTTTGGTAAAAATCAAAGATAATTATTATTCTAATAATAAAATGTTTGTATTAGATCTTGTTTGAGTAAGCATGGTGGATGCAGAAACGTTTATAATAGAAGATTATAAGTGAGGTGTACATGGGTGCGGTTTCATATGCAGTGTCAAATTATAATGTATTCTTACAGAGCTTGATTTGAAGAACTCAGTGGGATTGTCTCCGAGTAGGTGTGGAAGCCCTCTTAGCGCGACAGTCCTTTTTTCTGTGGGATCCAGTGACTGAAAGAACGATAATGCATTAAAAGAAAAAGTCTGTCATTCACAGAGACACACGCACAGACAATTTGTGCTTTTTTGTTGTGTCCCGGTTACAAAATATTACCTGCATTTGCTGCAAAAGCTGTGCCAAATGTTCGCCCACGTTGCCCCTCTTCGCTTTAAAGATTTCCATAAGACGGGTACGGTGATCATCAAGGGCAGAATAAAACTCCTGCTGCAAGTCTTTTCCCACAATCCTTTTGAATTCCAGGCAAATCTAAAAAAAACAAAAAAAAAAAAAAAAAAAAAGGGAAATTAGTGGGTGCTGTAAAACTGGAAAAGCAAATAACCATAAAGAAAAGTTAAGCATACCTGCTCATTAGTAAAGAGTGCAGGCCAACGTTGAATCAGAGAGCTTATTGGTGGTGCTGTCTCCACAACGTCATTCCTCCTTAAGGCAAAGCTTAGGTTACTTTTGTAGGTCATGGGGCATTACACTGTTTTACTCAGCTGGAGAAAATGCACTCGGCGCGGGTTAGAAGGTTAACATGAGAGACCAAGTGCCAAGACCAGTGCCAAAGCCCTGGTCCATTAATCATGGCACATGTTTCAACCGTAATTATAACCACAACCTAATTGTAGAAAAAAATAAAGTACACTTCAAAAATATATACATTTACTGAAGTAGCGACAAGATCAAATGCGGCGGTTAGGGGAAAAAAAACGACATGAAAAAAAAAGAAAAAATAAGATTTGAACGAGCTAACACAGCTAGCTAACTTACCAAGCAAAAATTCGCGGCTATAGAGGATCAGTGTAACGCTACAGAACAAACAGCCCTTGGTTTGCATGTTCACTGTCGAAGTTGCAAAAATATTAACGCATGCGGCAAATTAGTTTGAAGGCAACAGAAAGCTAACATTTCCCATTGCTAGCGCTTAGCATTAGCCGTTAGCGGCTAGCTGCAGTAACCTACGTTCGCAAACGCGTTAAACTGCTAATACAGTCCCAAAATAAAACACAAAAGACTCCCATATACGACCAACCCAATATATTGTAGGGCTAAATGACGCAGTTGACTTTTCGGTGAAATATAATAGCTAACGTGAGCACGAGGAAAATATTATTTTACCCAGTGAGTAGAACTACTACAACGAAGAGAAATGTATGCACTTACCATAGTTTAATAAACTGCTACATCAACCAGACTGGCGCTGATTTCCCCAATTCCAGACAACTGTGACATGCGATCGGTGGCCAACAGACAGAAGAGCCATGCTGGGTTTGAACTCATCGGGGCTCACTGCCTCAAGCCCCTCCCAAAACCAGTAAAACATGTAAATGTGAGGTGTCTCCGCTCAGAGCCATTAGTGGAGCAAATACTCGTTTTAATTAGTTTACAATTCACATTTTGTTTAATAATGGTCCCGCCTTTTGCAAAATTATGAAAAGATTAGTAGCAATAGCTTGACTTGTTATGTAAAAGAAAATTTGGGTTTACAGTGTACCTTTGCAACATAATTTCAGAAAAGAATACAGGACCAATCCAGAGTCAGGACTAAGACTCTGCATTTTTGGATGTTATACAAGCAAAATAATGCAAGTTAGAATAAAGGCATAAATAATTGGCACTAGTCACTTTAACCATAAAGTCCATAAATATATATTACTGTCACATTTTAAGTTGTGAAACAGAAAGTACTTTGACACACTATTTAATTACTCAGATTCATCATTCACACAATATAATGTAAAACATGTAAACAAATGACATACCTCTGACAGTCCAACTGTAATGAAGCAATGGCTTCCAATGAAGTTGAACCCGGAGGGCTGGTTTCTTAGGAAGGAAAAACAGTATACATATAACAGTTGAGGTTGCCAATAAGAAATAAAAAATATTACCATAGTTGAACATTACAAACCTGATTTCCGAAGTGAATAGATTAAATGAAATTCAGTATTTGTCAAGTTTCTGGACAAGTACAATTGACATCCCGCACATAAATTCGCTTAAAATCTTCACTGTATATTTGAACAGAATGAAAGTCGGCTTTGTCTGTTAAAAGCTGTGCTTTTATCAATCAGTTCTTTAATTATTTGAGATGTAAATCTCTTTTGGCATCTCATTGTCATCCCAGCACAAAGTCCCCAAGAGATCCTGAGGATTCTCCTCATCTGACAGGGAAAAAAAAGAACCAAGATAAAAAAATATGTAATATTCTTACCTGTCAAACTGCACACACCGTCCAAATTAAAACATACCTTTAAACAAATGCTGGACATTATAATTATGTATTATCGCTATTTAAATTACAGATCAAGAAATTCATAAACCACGGGTTATCTAAAATATTTTTAAAAAGGCTTCGTTAAAATTTACCAAAAGACTAGGGAAAATGTAAGCAATAATCACTACGCGAGCAAGAATTATACCATAAGTATAACTGGCCTGTTTTAAGCATTTCAAGTGGTTTGCTGCATGAAATTCACTTTTACAACGAGAATCAGATCAAATACATAGAATCACAGTTGTTGGATGCCAGTATGCATTCATGATGTTTCTGGCCTGTTTTAAGCGTTTCAAGTGGTTTGCTGCATGAAATTCACGTTTACAACAGAATCACTTCAAATACATAGAATCACAGTTGTTGGCTGCCAGTATGCAATTCATGATGTTTCTGGCCTGTTTTAAGCGTTTCAAGTGGTTTGCTGCATGAAATTCACTTTTACAACAGAATCAGTTCAAATACATAGAATCTTAGTTGTTGGCTGCCAGTATGCAATTCATGATGTTTCTGGCCTGTTTTAAGCGTTTCAAGTGGTTTGCTGCATGAAATTCACGTTTACAACAGAATCAGTTCAAATACATAGAATCACAGTTGTTGGCTGCCAGTATGCAATTCATGATGTTTCTGGCCTGTTTTAAGCGTTTCAAGTGGTTTGCTGCATGAAATTCACTTTTACAACAGAATCAGTTCAAATACATAGAATCACAGTTGTTGGATGCCAGTATGCATTCATGATGTTTCTGGCCTGTTTTAAGCGTTTCAAGTGGTTTGCTGCATGAAATTCACGTTTACAACAGAATCACTTCAAATACATAGAATCACAGTTGTTGGCTGCCAGTATGCAATTCATGATGTTTCTGGCCTGTTTTAAGCGTTTCAAGTGGTTTGCATGAAATTCACGTTTACAACAGAATCAGTTCAAATACATAGAATCACAGTTGTTGGCTGCCAGTATGCAATTCATGATGTTTCTGGCCTGTTTTAAGCGTTTCAAGTGGTTTGCTGCATGAAATTCACTTATACAACAGAATCACTTCAAATACATAGAATCACAGTTGTTGGCTGCCAGTATGCAATTCATGATGTTTCTGGCCTGTTTTAAGCGTTTCAAGTGGTTTTCTGCATGAAATTCACTTTAACAACAGAATCAGTTCAAATACATAGAATCACAGTTGTTGGCTGCCAGTATGCAATTCATGATGTTTCTGGCCTGTATGGCATACTGTTGCCCTCGGGCAACAAACCAATCTTTTGGCTCTTACACTGGCCCTTTAATGTTTTTTTTTAATTTTTTTATTTATAAAATTACTAGACATGTTTCTGTCCAATTAAATCAAGTTCTGAAGTGGGTGGGGGCAATTGTCTGGGGGTGGAGCAGTCCTTTCAGGAAGCAGAGTCACAAGTGACACAGTGCCAGAAAAAGATAGGATAAATATAACTTTTCTACATGTTTAAATTCGAAAAACTTGATAAAATAAATATGTGACTGTGCATGAATATGTTAAGAAGCATATTTGATTGTTAATATATGTTTTTTGTTTCCATTTATATACAAAAACTGCACGTTTAGGTTTGTTGCCTCAAGGCAACATCATGCAGTTGTAGCACTTTTGTTTGGGCAGTGTAATGCTGCTGGTTGGGGATGTGCTTGAATGGATAATCAACACCACACTCAATGTTTTTTGCTGTTCTATCTTCCATTCTGATCTATCTACTATTGCTTGTAGGAAATGGATGCAATAACGTTTTATGGGTCCAAGAATGAAGGAGTTAGGGACATTCCAATCGATAGTCCTGGTCTCAGGTCTCTGTCCTGAAGTCCTCTCACATTAGTCCAGGTCTCAGGTCTCTGTCCTGAAGTCCTCTCACATTAGTCCTGGTCTCAGGTCTCTGTCCTGAAGTCCTCTCACATTAGTCCTGGTCTCAGGTCTCTGTCCTGAAGTCCTCTCACATTAGTCCTGGTCTCAGGTCTCTGTCCTGAAGTCCTCTCACATTAGTCCTAGTCTCAGGTCTCTGTCCTGAAGTCCTCTCACATTAGTCCTGGTCTCAGGTCTTTGTCCTGAAGTCCTCTCACATTAGTCCTGGTCTCAGGTCTCTGTCCTGAAGTCCTCTCACATTAGTCCTAGTCTCAGGTCTCTGTCCTGAAGTCCTCTCACATTAGTCCTGGTCTCAGGTCTCTGTCCTGAAGTCCTCTCACATTAGTCCTGGTCTCAGGTCTCTGTCCTGAAGTCCTCCCACATTAGTCCTGGTCTCAGGTCTCTGTCCTGAAGTCCTCAGTGAAATATTGGGCCCATTAGCGCCCCTACAGACTGTGTCAAAGTTTACATGGGGAGCCAAACCAGCTCTATTAGTCCAGGTCTCAGGTCTCTGTCCTGAAGTCCTCTCACATTAGTCCTGGTCTCAAGTCTCTGTCCTGAAGTCCTCGGCGAGGGCCGTTCCCGAGCGAACGGGGGAAGGGCCTATTGCGTTCACAATGGTGAAAACAAATTGGTGGGGGGCGTGCGGTCGGCGGGCAGCGGGCCCGCACTCACCGAAACGGGACGTTTTGCGTCGTGAACGCGAAAGCGTTCAAATTAGGTATCACGGGCATTGAAACCTATATGTTTTTGCTCGAGCCGTCGAAAATAAAAAGTCCTGTTTTTTTAGCCCGAGCCCCGTACGGAAAGGGCCTTTTGTGTGTGGGCTCGAGAAGATGTCAAATTCTGCTACTGTTTAGCCGTGAATTTCACCCCCTGAACAGGCTGGAAAAGTTTGGTAAAATTTTGCCCAAACATCAGGACCTGGGGACATAAGTTTGATAGTTGGGTGGTGGTTGTTGTGGATGGGACTCTAAAAAATGCCAGATATACAGCGCCACCGACAACACCAATGGAGTGTGTCCAGAGGTCTAGGTGGTCGGTAGAGCCATGAAAGGTAGCGGGAAACACATTGGTCCTCTAGGCGATGATACGACCTTAAATATAAATAGAAAAGGGTTATCCCAGTG